GAAACTGAGGTGCTGGAGTTTTGAAAATGGAAGGAAAATGTTCCTAACTACTTTGAACAACAGAATTCTCTGTTGAGTTTAGGTAAAAGCTGCCCTAAACCAGCCAGGAGCTGTTTGAGAACATTAACAGCAAATCATGGAAAGACAGCAAAAGTCTTGCTCTGTGGAAAGCAGCACTGAGGAATTTGGGATATCAGGAAAGAACAGCAGGGCTGTGAGCCTGAGCAGCAGAAGAAAGGATGCAAGGTGAGTTCAGGCTCACATCTGTATAACCCTGGGCATTTAAAATGTGTCATTGTGGATCAGGCGAGCAGAAGCAAAGCAAATTCAGCCCAGCCTTCCATGAAAACCCAGCTGCCCATTCCCTGAATGCCCAGGAAAAATCCATCTGTTTGCAATCGGTGCTGCCATGGTGATTTTCAAGTTGGTGGGGACATCTCCTGACAGGCACACCTGGAGAAACGCCCCGAACCTGCTGGCAAAGCCCTCTCAGCTCTGGACATCCCTGCACTTATCTGGCTTCCAGCTCCTCACACCCATCCTCCACTGAAAACCTTCAGGAAAAGGCTTTTCTTATCCAGGCTCCTCTGAGGGCTGGGCACAAAACACCTTTTCACTCGGGATGGGGAAGCTTTTGGGTCAAAGGGAAGGATGATCCTGGGCTGAGGTGGAAATTTCAGTGCTAAAGTGTGGAATTTCTGCAAGGCAGCGCTTGTAACCTGCCTCACCCTGTAATCAGCCAGGAACTCCCCTGCTGCTGCACTTCAATACCTGCACAAAAACAAGAGTTATGTTCTCTCTTTCCTACAGTGTGGGGGAAAAAAAAATAAATAAAAAAGCATCATTTTTATTTTTTAAAACCTGAAAATGCCTCAGTGCAGTAACACTCTTCTCTACGAAAAGCAAAGACTGAAGATTCAGAAAAACAAAGGATTAGAGAAATGTAAGCAGTTGTGATGTCTTTGGCTATGAAACATCAGCTAAATGGTTACATTTTTATAATTTCTTAAGCCATTTTACCACATCTATAACTTAATTTGCCTTGTACAGACACAGCAAAAGCTTCCATTTTCCTTCTGATATTTTCTTTTATTTTCCTAGGGCTTTGCCACTAAAGCTGCTTTAATCTTTGTAGATAAATCTTCAGGTTTTCAATTTTTTTTTCCTCTCTGAAGACTTCAGCTGTCTTAAGTTTTTATAATTCATCGTGTTTAAATGTTTTAGGCAATTTGAAGCCCTATTTATAAATGGATATCATTAAGATTAGGCTCTAATAAGTGCTAATCTTTCTTTCCAAGCAGATAGAGCCTGTCTTAAACCTGAATGGCTTAAAACAAGTTCATTTTTTTTTTATCCTTATAAAGTGAACAAATAAAACACTGCCCAGCAGCTGTATTCACTGGAAGCACTGGAGATAATCCTCCCATTTATTACTGCAAAGTGCTTTTCCTTGGAGGCATCAGCCTTGCTTTACCTTCAGATGTGCAGGCTGCAGGTCACAGAGCCTGAAACGTGGCAATGAAACCTGAAAATCACCTGGCCTCACAAAAAACTTCCAACTTGGCTCCAGTTTTGGATGTTTTGGGTTGAGTTTTGAGTCAAGCAGGGCCAATAAAGGCACTGTGTGTTTTTAGTTGAAGGCACAAATTAATGGCCTGGTCTGCACTGCACACCTCGAGGTGAACGTCTCTTTTCATCAGGGGAACTCTGATGCTTGGAGGTGTTGAGTTCATTTCTGCCTGTGCTTGGCTGAGCCCAAGGTTTGTGATCAAACCACAAGCTCTGGCTGAGCAAGGAAATATCTTTTTCTATGAAGAATGATAAAAAATGACTGAACGTAGCAATTTCATGTGCAGTAAATCCAACCCTGCTTGGGTTTTGCTCCCCAATGGATTTAACTGGCTCTCTCCTATCATTTAAGGGATTAAAGCTGTTCAGGGTTTCCCTTGAATTGAAATAATTTTAATTTTCCATCTTAAATGGGATCTGATGTGACTAAAGGTAAAATGTCTTCATCTGACTGGTTGCTGTCATTCCATGAATGCCTCTGCAGCAAAAAACAGGGGAGGAAGAAGGAAAACAAGGTTCTTGCTGTATGGACAAAATGGAGCAAATAACTCACAACTAATAAGTAACACAATCTCCTCCTGAGGACTAAAAATACCCTGTTTTTATTGAAAGTCTATTTATTGAAAGTCATCAGGTAAGTAAAATGATGTTACTTCTATTTCTTGCCTGGTCATAAGAACAAGCAGTTCCAGAGCAAATTTAAAGTTAATTTCCTGCAGATCCTGGTTTATGAGATTTTAAAACTGGCCTTTGGTTAATGGTCATGAAAGTGGAATTTGAACTGCACCAAAGTTTATGGAAAGTGATCAAAGGCAGCTTGCAAAAGAATTAAATTATATTTCCTGATCATTCTTCATTTCCAGTGTTAATGTAACTCACAGTCCTGCAGCCTCAGAAATGTTGATCTGGGAGCTCATCTAAAGCCTGAAACAAATGTAAGGGATTGCAAATCAAAGTAGGAATGTGGGTTGGTAAAAGCCACTTTTGGTCAGTCCCTTGATCCCTCAGCCACCTCTGTGCTCAGGAGTCCTTTCTAACTGTGGCTATAAATACAGAGCTTCAAAACCAGTTAAAAATATTTAAATATGGATGAAAAGCCCCACGAAGTTAATAAATCTGGTTCATTTTTGTCAGGAGCAGTATGAGAACAAAGGAAGAGAATGGCAACAGAAACACAAAAGGTTTATAACTTATAGTACAACTCCACCAGATGGATCTGAGTTGAATTTCAGTTTTTATTTTCCTTGTAAACTTTACTTCCAATTAAAGTGACTCTGGGAGAAATCAGGCAAGCACTGACTTCTTTGTGTGATCTACGTTTGTGAAAGCTGATTGCAAAAATAGGGAATTACGTTTATGAAAATCAGATCTTGGTAAATGAAACAAAAGTAGAATTGAGAGTGAAAGTTAAATAATCTAATTATAAATACTGTGACGTAGAGAAAGCCAGCATCAAATCCTGCATTACTTCATCTCCCATGCATGTAAATCTACGGGGACAAACCTCAGCAAAACTGGCTCTTGATGCTCTTCCAGCTGAAGTACTCGATCCAGAGCTCACAAAGTCACTATGAATCATTTAAGTTCTGGATGTTGAGTGCCAATTTTTCTGCAGGAAATTATCTTGCACCTAAAATCACATTTTTCCTAGTGGAAACTTTATAATTAAAAGTAGTCTTGAGTGTTTTAACATAATTTATGTAGAATGGTGTATTGTTTCTACTTTCTTTGAGAATAACAGAAAAATATCACATGTACAATGGGATGTCTTTCAGGAAGGCATTATTATAGAATATTAAAAACTGTATTCAACTGGCTACTAACAACATGATCCTCCTACAGGGAGGAACATGTTATAACACTACAAAACAATACTCCAGGTAAGGTCCAGAATACAGGATATTTTCAGGTTGATTACACATTATGCAAACTACTTGAGTTCCTTCTCAAGATCAAAAATTCCATAAATCCATATGTGCTTCCACAGGCTCTCCACTCAAATTGCCTGTCAGGGTAAAAAAAAAAATCTTGAAAACTGTGCTGTAACCAGGATGATGAAGGAAAATTACTGCCAGACAGATTATATAGTGAAGAAAAACGGTGTAAGTTATTGTGTGCCTCCTAGCTTGAATACATATGGGACAAATGCAAATTTGCCAAATGAAATACAGTTTAGAGTGCATAAATTTCAAACAGATAATACTTTGTCCTTATTAAATCCTGGCTTGGATCATGATTTTTCCTGAATCTCCAGGTTTTCTGTGGAGGCTGTTTATCCCCTAAAGGAGCATCAATTACAAATAATGGTCAAGCCACCAAAATTGGAAGGACAAGACTCAAAGCAAATAAACTGCAGCAATATAAGTGATAAAAACTCGAGTGTTGCCATACACTTCAGGTGTCCTTTGAGGGGGAGGCATAGGAATTATCATTTATTGGCAGAGACATAAATAACCTGGTGTGGAAGAGTTGAAGTGTGATGCATGGATCTACAAGTGCACAAGTCTACAGGGTGGGCATAAATACAGCTTTTGTGAAAAATTAAACATCACAAGGATGTTTAGCTCTGAGCACTAACTAAAGGTTAGTGTGGATAATGGGATAACTTTTTTTTTAAAAAAAAAGCCATTTGAAGCCTCATTGCGCTCAGCAAGGTTGATTTAGATTTCAGCTACTGAAAGCACGGCACTAAACGAGCAGGAAGAGGAGATTGCTTCCTCCAGAGTGGTGAATAAATAATACCTTAGAGTGAAACCATAGAAAAGCCTGGATTCAAACAGAGGGACGCTTTGAGAAGTTTGGGATAAAGGTTGGAATGAGTTGGGAGGGGGCGCATTAAAAGGAGAGGGACTTTTTAGAAGGGCGTGGAGTGACAGGACAAGGGACAATGGTTTTAAAGTGATGGAAGGCAGGTCTAGATTAGGAAGGAATTGTTCCCTGGGAGAGTGGCAGGCCCTGGCCCAGCGTGCCCAGAGCAGCTGTGGCTGCCCCTGGATCCCTGCAAGTGCCCAAGGCCAGGCTGGGAGCAACAAGTGGAAGGTGTCCCCGCCACGGCAGGTGTGGCACTGGACGATTTTTATTGTCCCTTCCAGCCCAGACAGTTCCGCGGTTCTGTGGTAAATGAAGCTCTGCCCTCAGCCGAGCTCCGCGCCCCCCGCACGGAATCGGCTCTCGCCTCGTCCCCCCCAGCCGGCGGCGCGCAATGGTCGCTCCCGCGCTGCCACGGCAACGGCGCCGCGCTCAGGGACCGAGGGGCCGGGACAGCCACGGCCATCGGGATCGGGACAGTGCCCGCCGGGAGAGCCCTCAGCACCGGGCGGGAGAGCCCTCAGCGCCCCCTCAGCACCGGCCGGGAGAGCCCTCAGCGCCCCCTCAGCAC